AGAATATTTCGTCTTAATAATGTGAGATTGATAATTTTGCGTAGCTTTTAGTTATGTTTTTTTTTTAAAAAATAGTTATTTGCCGTTTTTTCACAATATTAAAAATACTAAAAAATACGAAATAATTGAAAACTTTTGAAAGCAGATTTTTAGAAAATCAATGGCATATCACCAGAACAAAAAAAATAAAGTTGATTTTGAGTGCTTTTTCGTATTCAGCACACTCGATAATCCATAAGATTTTCTATTTTTGACTAAGAGTATTTCCAAAAATTTAGGAAAAATTGTCAAACATATTATTTTCCTCATGGAAACTTTTTTACACGATTTTGTTTCAAAATTTTTCCTAAACTTTTGGAAAAACTCCTAGTCAAAAATAGAAAATATTCTGGGTTATCGAGTATGCTGAATATGAAAAAGCACTTTTCCGCAACTCAAAACCAGCTTTATTTTTTTCCGGTAATATGGTCCCTAGGAACTTTTTTGTAGCATGCTGAGAAGTAGAACAGCCGCTGCGTCCGTCCGTCCGCAATGCTATCAAAACCAAAATCAACGAAGGCAAAAATCACATAAAAGGGAGCGAGAGAAAGAAGAGGTTGCTGATAATTGAAGAGCAAAGCAAAGTAAAGCAATTGTAAAAAATCAGCACATTCACTGATCTATTCGATTCAAATATACAGGTTTCCTTTCATAAAAGCCAAATTTTTCTGATTTTTTTCTCGCTTTTCTTGTTGTTTACCAAATTTTTCATTTACATTACCATTTTTTTATTTTATTTTCCTCAACTGTGTATCTTCTTTCCACAATTTATCACCGAGAGTCCATGCTTCTATCCACCAATCAGCATGCGTTCTATTTCTATACAACTATCTTTGATATTTATTATGACATGATATTTATACTTCTTTTATGCGATCACTGATAGCATTCAGGAGTTTGCTTGGTTACATTACGCTTGTTATCAGTATATGTATCGCAAGTGACCACACCACGTTTTCAAAACAAATCCCGTTTGCCCTCTGAAAAGTGGAGATATGTCTATTTAGAATTAAAACATAATTATATTTCTGTTTTGTTATTAAAATATCCACATGAGATTTCTATCTCTCTCTTCATAAGTTTAGCATTTGGAAAACAAACGCTTTTGATCGTATATGATATGAATATAGTAAGAAGAAAAGATCATTCAGTGCAGTACGTCGTCGTTAAACGATATGTGAAAGTAGGTAGGATCAGTGGTGAGTAAGATGACGTCTTTTACTAAGCTTATTGGTTAAAAAGGGTTTAGTTTTTTTTGTTTATTGCTTCTAACATTTAAAGAATCATTTGAATCATTCTCGCTTCAGAAAAATGTTTGTAGTAGCAGAACTTGTCTAAAATATTCAAGCAAAGGAAATTCTCTAATCAGATTGTTACATTTTACACTATGTAATTTTTCTTGGCCAAACAAAATTTAGAAGATTCACTCTTGGTACTTGACTCCAACAAGACCAGTTCTCTTCATAATGGAAGCGACTTTTTAACCATTGATAAAATATTTTTATTTAAAATATGCCCTTAGTTCGAAGGTTTTTGTCTATTCATACTGTAAAATGACAGATAAGAATTTTTTTGTTAAGGCGTAAACTGAATGTCTTTTAGCAATCATAGTGTAGAGAAAATATATTATTTATTCAATACATTGTGAAAGATTTAGAACAAACCGCTTTCAGATGCAAAAACCTGTCAACGGTTATCTATATCTGTAATTTTTTTTCAAAAATTCTATGGCATCGATGGTCTTCTCGTCACATTCATACTGAATACGATTCTGTATATGTGAATCAAGTGATTGTTTAAGAAATTTTTCAAAACGACCATGTCCTTCTTCTAACTTAATTCTTATAAAGTAGATTACGCAAACAAGCGGATCTTTTTTGTATCAGAGTCCGTACAATCAATAGATTTTTCGTTCTAAATGAGAATTTAGACGCTATGTAGTATCCATGATGGTAATATCATATTATTCCGTGATAAGTTGTCATTTTTAGTAGTCATTTGTAGAGAGTGGTACGTTCTTCATTAAAATCGAAGAAAATAAAACAATAGGATAGGATAATAGATAGGATATTTTTTATTTTGTGATTATATCTATTAGATACATGATTATAAATGTTTTCCTGTTTTTATTTCTAGACTAATACATTTGTTTATGATGTGATTGTTCTTCTTTTATGAGAGAGAAACTCTATTAATTGTATTTATAATCGTGTTATCTTTATGATACTAATAACAGAAACAATCAAATATTTTTCTCTATATATTGATGAGAACATATGTTATAGAAATGTGTGTTGAAAGATTTTATTAGAAATAAGATCATTTGTGTGTCAATAATATTGTTTACCTTCTGACAGTCATTAATCTGACAGTATTTTTTATCACTCTAAATTTAAGATATCGTTATAATTCTTCCTATTTTTCACTATAAATTTTAACTCTATTTTTTTATCGAGTTTATAGTTGAAAGAATATACCGAAGTAAATGATCGTAAGTCTTTTAATGATATATTTTTTTTTTATTCGTATAGTCTACACCTATCGAACAGAAGATTGGAGAATGAGACTGAATACAAGATCAATAAGAGGAAAATAAATTAAAATTTCGAATATTTGACGATGTATTTTTTTTTTTTTTGTTATTGTTGTTGTTATCGATAATAATAAGCTTAGAGAAAGTAAAAAGCCAAAAGATCAGCATAGTATAGTTTATTAAATGAAAGAGAACGATAGTTGGGTATTCATATTGTTCAAAGAACTTCTCCCATCTCATAGTATAGAGAGAGAGAGAACACGAAAGAAAAAGAGAAAAAAAAAAGTATGAACTATGTTTTCATAAAAAAAAAAGAACATGACCTGCGGTCATTTGATTATTACTACGTTATCTGTATAGGTATGTGTCTAGGTTAAAAAAACCATGAACAATTTTAAATGTCTATGGTCATAACAAAGAAAGAAAATGAATGTTAGTGAAAATTTGATGACAAATCGATATGATAAAGAATTTTAGAAGGTAGTTTGAAGTGAGCAGATATTATTATATAGTATTGTGAAATAATTAGCAGATCAATTTGATATTACATTGTATCATTCATTTTTTTTCTCTTTTGAAAATATCAGACAGACAGGAAAAGAATCATGTGAAATTAGGCATTTATGCGTATTCTTATCAAAGATGTCTTGTTTAGATCTTGTTCTGATGAAGAAAATGGCATAAATTTTCATGTCGAACATATCCAAAGAGAAATGTTTGGTATAGTGCGTTATTTAGTTTGTTCTCCATTTTTATGAGCTTTTTTTCATAACTACGAATTGTATAAAGTGTGTTACCATTCCATAAACCATTCTTTGACTTTGACTACATTTCCTTTTCAGTTCTCTCCAAAAGACAAACGGTATTAATTTGAAACAGAACAGTTTTAAATATTGAGATATCGTTCGAAACCTAAACAATAAATAGTAAGAATATCCTGAGATAATTTGTACAGTACATAAATAGAATGGAAGTATTAGATTCTTATTCTTTTTTGTTTTATCTTAGAAAAACGGATATTTTGATTTTTTCGCACCCAGGGAAGTAGAAAAAATACGATTTTTTTGTTGCTGAGTAATATTTTTAACATTGTGTTTGGAGTCATAGTAAAAGATGAAGACACTCCTAGACAGCACATAGACAACCACTTCTGCAGACGTAGAAGTGGCTGTCTGTGTAGCTGATTTGGGTTGTCTGTGTGCTGTCTGTGCAGTTGTCTGTGGCTGCCTGTGTTCTGTCTGTGAGTGTCTTCATGTATTTTACTATTATCCATGGTGTTTGACGTACCTATTGGAACATCTCGTCATTTCCTTATCTTATGAGGATGAAAATAGAGTTTACACATGTAAATCCTATTTTGAGAAAAAGGTTTCAACTACATTCTATTTTTTCCAGTTGAATTGATTACCCTGGTTTAAAATATGTTTCTTCTGAGTGATCTCTAGAATAGTTTACATTCATATTTATTGTAATGTACTCAGACTGATATGAAACTTGAAGAAAAAAACATTTGACAATAAAATTATTCAATAGTATTTGTTTAATACGAGAAAAACAAGATTTATTATTTCTCAGACAAACTCAAATCATCCTATCATTGTTTCATGTAGTTGTCTTTTTTTCTGTCTCTTGTCGAAGTAGAATTATCATGTGTCTGCTATTTTTTGTTATATAACGAGTTCGGATTTACATTGTATTCTTCTTCGTTTTTTTCCTATACCTATGCTTAGAGCTCATTTTCTTTTTCTCATTCTCTCTGTAATTTTTTAAAACAAATGAATTCTTGTCAGAACAAAACGATGATGACTCAACGTTAAAAAAAAGTAACTTTTTCCCTATTTTTCTATGTAAATATCAATGAAGGTTATCTCCGTTTTGCATTTCTGTTTTAAATAAAAAGAAAAGAAGAATTTAAAAAGCGCGTGACGGTTTTCTTTTCATTGTTGGAAAAGAAACTTCAGTTTGTGGTTTTCTTCCTCCTTTTGAGTATACTGTTACGATACAGAGACAGAGAGAGAGAAAAAGAAAGAAACTAAAAATATTTAACATATTTTCGATACACGGATAAAAAAACATACACAAGGTTTTCATTCAATTTTTTTGTGCCGTTATCAAGACATTGTTTTACGCTGCGTGAACCGTTAGAGCTATTGTTAGGCTGTCAGACTTAATACGAAAAGATATAGAATCATTTTTTCACAAGTAGAAACTTATTATCATCAAACTAATGTACAGTTTATTTTTACATCAATTTTTTGTTTTTTGTTGACTAAACAATTTTTAGCGTGAATGATGATTATAATATCAAGTTTTTCTGATTACTTTTGTCTATTCTATCACTTACATACTTAAAACTCTCGATAAAAATAATTTTTTGTTGTATAGGTAATTAAACATTTGTCTTTTCTTGCTTAGGTATTTTAGATCAATGGAAGTACCTGCTAGTTCATTTCCAGAAGAGACTTCATTTGTTATTGATGACGTATCGAATATCATAAAAGAAACTATTGAACGTATTATCGGCGGAAATTCATATCAACATAATAAAGTAAATAGATGGACGGCAGATATTGTTGATCATGTTCTTACTGAACTCACAAAATTAGGAAAACCATTTAAATATATTGTACAAGCTGTTATTATGCAAAAGAATGGAGCAGGTTTACATACGGCGAGTAGTTGTTATTGGGATAATACAACGGATGGTTCTTGTACAGTTAGGTAAGTCTTGCTAAGAGAAGTAGAAATCTAATGATGATCAAGTATTCAGTATAAGGGGAAAACAGCAGACTCCTGGACTCTATGGACTCCTGAAATCTAGAAATTCGTAGAAGTGTTTCTATTGTATGAAAATCTATTACTATGTATCAACAATTAATACAACATCTCTAATAACATTGTTCATAGTTCCTTTATTATGACTCGTTTGTTTCCAATCTTGGCAAACCTTTTAAATTTATCTTTCTCAGTATATATTTTTGATCATAATTAATAAACAAATAATAAAATATAGCATAGTTTCACAAATATATTCTTATAGGATTCTCGGTACTCGTATCGACCTGTTAGTACTACAAGGGATTTCAGGAGCCTGCTGTTTTCCCCTAAATTCAATATGAACAGAAAAAAAGATTTGATGGCGTTCTCGTTCCACACTGGAAATTTCTCCCCTAGTTGAGTCTCTAAATAAAGTTTTTTTTTTTTTTTTGTCAACAATAAATTAGAACTAGAAAAAATCCAATATATCCTAATTTGAACTTCTTTGCATGAAATTTGTTCTTATATTCCATTTTCGCACGAATATAGTGGAGAAATCTATGGACATTTTTATCAATTTTTTTTCATTTCTTAGTTATTATTATCTAGTTTTACTTGTGAAATTATAACGCAAAAATCAGATTTAATCTATCTTTAAAAATAGTCAATGCTAGATCTTTCTTTCTTGTTTCCACTTACAGCATGTACTCTCCCGTTGAAAGCTGAAAACTTTAAAATAAATCAATTTTAATTTATAAATAATTTGTATTCAAAATGATGTGTTTTCTGTTTGTATATTTTAGATGGGAAAACAAGGCAATGTACTGCATTGTATCCGTATTTGGTTTGTCAATTTAACCAACAATTTTAATATAAATAAAAATATAGACATTCGATAAATATGTTACCAAAATATTGTTCCAACGATCATTCTTTTTTCTTTTTAAATTATACATCAATCATATCTAGTTTCTCTTTCTCGTCTTTTGTAGTTGTTCTTCCGTGTTTGTTTGTTTTTTCTGTTTGTAAACAAGAAAAGAATAAATAAAAATCTAGTTTCTCATTATATTTAGAATTGTTTGTCTGTTTCTCTGTTGTTGTTTTTTTTATTGGGTGAATTAGTTACTTTTCGTTTTTCGAAATATTTGTAAACATTGATGCTACTTCACTGACCTTTTTTTTCTTTTTCACTTTTCAATAAAAATGTTGATATATTTCAAATGCACAAAATTTGTTTTTGTTGTTAGTTTATTTTGTAAAGTATTTATTTATTAACGAAAATTTGATTGAAACTATGACTAGAAAATTGATTGTATAGAGTGTCAATTTTATTTTTCATCATAATATCGTTGCTTTATTTATATCCAACTGAAAATAATGAAATTATTATGTCTATAGAGAACTTAATATATTCGAGTTTCTCTATCTTCAAAAATTTTTATCTTTAACATTATTAAAAAAAACTGTTTTATATGACTTAAAATATGATTATCAGGATATATGATCGATTTGACTACTTCACTTTTGTTTTCCCATTACTTTTGTTATTCTAGTGTAGTGCTGTACGATTCTATTCTAGTCATTTGAGTTCCAATATTGTTGACCTTTGTAGTATGAGAAATTCGAACTAGATTAATTTAATTTAATGAATATTGTATTGTACCGTCAATAACATGATCTGTATATTGTGTAATGGGTATTGCAAAAGTTTCTAGAAAATATATCGAACATTATTTCTGCATGCTCCCGATGTGTTGAAGAGTTAATTATTTTTTTTTCGTTGAAACTCTGAACTTTAAAGAACATAGAAAACAAAATTTTTTGTAATTAAGTTTAAGGGGGGGGGGGGGGGGGGGGGGGGGGGGGGGGGGGGGGGGGGGGGGGGGGGGGGGGGGGGGGGGGGGGGGGGGGGGGGGGGGGGGGGGGGGGGGGGGGGGGGGGGGGGGGGGGGGGGGGG